TTTGTCGATTTTATTATTTGCTCAAGAGATTTAATTGAAAAGAATTCATAAAATAGCATTAGAGGAGTTATTATCCCGAGTTGTTGAAGGTGACCAGGAAGGATTGGATATCCTCTTTCATAAAAAGGAAGTTCATGTTGCAAAGGTGTAAACTCTGGTGGATTAGAAAGACTCTCTTGTTGTTTAAGTTTAAAACCACGACTATTTTTATTTGCCCTTGATCCATATGACCGTCCTCTATTTTTTCCTTGACTTCTAGTAACTTCAACTACTGGCGTTGCAGATGAACTATTCTGAGAATCTAATTCCTCATCTATTTTATCAAGCTCATCATAATCTTGAGTTAGATATTCAGAACTTGTTAAAAAATCATTCAGCAAATGCTCTCCGTGATGGTTTTGTAAAAAACACATTTCAAATTCATCTTCACTCGATTCTGTATCGGACTCACTACTAATTTCTTGTTCGTCTATATTCATGACTAGGTTTAATTAATTTACAATTGTCAATTTAGTCTGTATAGATATTTTTTTAGTTTTGTTTTAATTTTGCATATTTAACTTTTTAATTTTTATATTTCTCTGAATATATATCGTCAATTTTCTTTAACTATAATGCATTACATGTCATATACACATCACTATATATTTTAACTATTATGCGATACTAAATCTATTTACTATGCATCATTATATCATTATATATTAACTATATTATGCTCTGTTTATTATGCATCACTATATAATATTATTATGTATCATTAGATCTAAAAATTAGTCTTGTGTACTTTAATTTCATACTTTTAACTCTTTATGTCTAGAACTCTAGCATTACCAACCTAAAGAATCTTACAATTAGTATCAGGATTTAATTTAATATATTGACGAAATTTTTTAGTTGATGATAAGGTTTAAATATTAATATATTACTAGTCAATTATATCAAACTTAAAATATGAAAACTGCGATAATATGCTTTTTTTAAAAAATTCAATATCAAATAATATTAAACTCACTCTCAAGTAATTATTTATTTGCTAATATGTTTAAAAAACTAACAGCTAAGATAGATTCTAAAAAGTTAAAAATCGCCGCAGGATTGCAAATATAAAACAAAATAAAATAAATAAGTTATGAATAGCATAAAAAATTGGGGGTTTTTTTTGAGAAATAAAAATCCGCTATAGAAGAGAATCGATAACTTGAATCATATATCATATTTTAACACAATATCGTTCTTAAAAATTTAAATCCAGATAAATGTTTCAACCGACAGGTATAAATGTCACATCTAGTAACAGCTATGATATAGATGCATTCGACTTTTGCAGGGGTTATTTCTGTTACCTGAAAATGAAAATGAAAACAGAAAATCAATAAAATTAGATAAAAGTGATATTGGCTAAAAGCTCTTTTCAAGTAGATTTCTCGATAATAAGAATATAGGGGGGGTCCATTATTATTTGTCACGGATTATCGTGAAATCGGATTATCGTGAAATTTGGATCTATTTTATATACGATTTTTAAAAATTTTTAGG